TTGGATGTTGTTGTTGTGTTCTTTGTTTGTTTATGACAAACTCCCCAGGACTGGGCACTTTCTGCGTGGTCTAGGCTGGCTGGCTAGTGAGCTGCAGTGATATTTCTACCTCTGCATTCCCAGTGATCATGTTAAAAACAAAGAAAGGATAATCTCTATCTCACACAAAGGAACACAGGAACAAAATAGAAATGGCTCAATGAGTCAACTTCTGCTTTAAAGGAGTATGCCAGAACCTAAATCCCACTAGCAAGCAGTACAGAGCACTAAGTGCACTTTGCTGCTCTAATGCAGGTGGCAACTTATGTCTTTCCCCATGTTGGCAAAAATAGATTTTCACAGTAAGACCACAAACACACACATACTACCATACTCGACTATTTATTTATTTATTTATTTATTTATTTATTTATTTATTATTCTGAGTAGATTAGGGAGATCAAGTTCAGGTCCCCATGCTTGAACAGCAAGTACTTTATCAATTGAATCATCTTCCTAACGCATCATTGGATGTTTTTGAGGGTAAAATGAGACCATAGTTTGGAGCAGAACAATGTGGTTTGTACCGAAGGGGTAATGCACTTTCAGTATTTAAATGGAAAGTGCCAAGTAAATGAGGCAGGGTTCAAAACCAGGGTTTCTTAGTATGGATGTTTCTGATATTGGGGTTGGATGATTGTCTATTGTGAGAGGTTGTAATTTGCGTTATAGGATGATAATTTCTTGGCCCTGGTCTCTATCCACTAAATACCTTAAATGTTCCCCTCCTCTCAGATTGATGAGCAGAAATCTCCACACATTTCTAGATGTCCCTAGGGTCTTGGAGGAAGTCAGTTGCTTTAACTTGAGAGCTATTGTTTTGGGCAATTAATTCATAGTCCTTTTCCAAAGAGTTCATTATACCTACATACACTTGTCTGACTTCTGTCCCTTATATTACTCTTATCTATCCTTAATTGTTTGTTGTTTTGTTTTTAGCCAAGTTGTCCTCTAGCTCAGGCTGGTCATTAACTGACTGTGTAGTTGAGGATGACCTTGAATTTGTGAACTGTCTTCTTCTTAAAGAAGGATTTCAAGTATGCACTTCCAAATCCAGTTTATACAGTGTTGGGGTTGAACCCAGATGAGCTCTCTACAAGATAAGGTACATTTTCTATTGCCCTTAAGCATTATATGAATGAAAATTCACTAGCCAACTGCACAAGCATGGATATATGCTTGCAAAACCTTGGGAACTCAGTGAGTCAGAAAGTGTTGTGAAGGGTGTAGCTCAGAGGAAATATTAAATAAATGTCTTTTGTTGTTACTGGAATTTCATATCCACGGCTTTGACTCTTAGTATCATTTTGTTCCCTGATGCCTCACACCCAGTTAAGTGGTCAGTAAACATATTTACAATCGTCATAACTGTTGCTATGGGGGTTGACACTGGAGCTATCTCCAGATCCTCCATCATTCTTTCTTGACATCTCTGCCTGACATTCTGACCCTCATTCATTCTTTTGTGGGAACTCCCTTCATAAGACTTCTCAACAGATTCTTCTGAGCTTCCTCAAACTCCACCTTCCCTGTGGCATTTGAAGTGGTGGATTCACTTCCTTGTTTTTAAAATCTACTTTTCTGGCTGGTTAGATGAAAAAACTATGTACAAGTATCTTCTCTTTCTCTTTTCAGTTTTATAACTTGATTTGACATTTAAAAGTTAGTTCTCATCCACATTGACAGTGATTTTATTGTTTTAATCAAAGACTTTATTTAGAGGACTGGGGAAAGGTGGGAGATGCCCATCTGTCCTCCACAATGCAGATCCTTAGAGGTTTCCTCATTGCTAAGAGACACTGTAGATTTTTTAATGTGATAACAAGGATAGAACTTGTTTGGTGAATTCTCATTTTCATTATGTTTTCTATATAAAAAACACATGGATACAGTATTGAACTTTCCTTATTTATTCCTTTAGTCTGAACAGATTTGTTGAGCCTGGTATCAATGTACACATTTGGAGTCTTCGTCTCCTTCCTGAGTAGGTTTTTTTGATATCTTTGATGTCCAAGGGGCACACTTCTTAAAATGTACTCCATGGATATGCTTGATCAAAATACACTGTTCACACATCTAAAACCCTTAAATGATAAAAATTTGAAGTGGAGAGTGATTGAGGAAGGCACCTGAAATATCCTTCTGCTTCCACATGCATGTGGGATGCTAACATATTAGAATTGCTCTGTGTTTGAATGTGCCTGAAATTCCCCAGTGAGGGCTACAAGTGTGAGAGACAGACCTCTGTTCTAGAGCCATCCAGTGAGAGGCTGGAGAGGCATGGTTCAGTTGAAGAGTACTTGCCTATCTTGCATGAGGCCCCAACCCTACCCCCATATTCCCCATACAATTGCCTATGGAAGAGGGGAAATCCTAGCTTTTGATAAATAGAAGTCATTTACATCACCTAGTAGATGTTCAACAAACAGCAGTTATGATTGCCTATAGTGAAACTAAATCCATGCTCTGCTTATTCTTTATTTTAATATTTACTTGATTTTTAAGTATCTCTGAGTGTGGACATCGCAGTAGAGTTACTAGGGAAGCTAGACGAGGGCACCAGACATATTGTAGCTGGAGTTTAGGCAGTTGTGAACTGTATGACATGGGTTCTGGAGAATGAACCAGGGTCCAGCTTGCTCTTTTGTAAAGGCAGGGAAGCTTTTAGACTTTGGCTCTCAGGACTGATTGGCTAATGATGCATGAGAGGCTTGCGGTTCCACCCCAGAAAAAGTGCTAGAACTGTGTAAACACCCAAGTACTGGCACTTGGGGGAGCAATGTTTCTGCTTCTCTGTGTTTGCTTTTCCTAGTTGGGGAACACCTTGGTAGGAACTGAGCTTAAGAGTTCAGGCAAAAGCCAAACAGAGCTCCTTCTGCTCTTCCTTTCCTATACCTCCAGCTGGGATATTCCCTTTGGAAATCTCCCTTCTTCGCTCCCACCTCCCCTGGTCCGGCAATTCCAGCTTACCCTTTCACATAGGGTTCTGAAACATCTGTTCCAGGAAGCCTGACCCGCTTCTCCACCAACTTCCACGATGAAGTCTGCTGTCTCACACTGACTTATTAGCTACACTTCAACCCTGTGTTTGTTCATTTGTCCATCACCCTTGAGATACAAGCTAGGAATATGATGGGGGCTCAAATGTGTTTATATTATAGGTGACATAAGTAGGGCAAGCAGACAGGTGAGTCATTCTTCGGGAAACTGCCAAAAGTATGGTGACCTTAGGGGTGGGAAGTAAAAGTTACTGAAATACTTGTACCAACCATAGGCTTATGTAGTTTAGTTCTAGGTATAAGATGTAAGAGAGATATGATACCCTGAATCCCAAACTCCTTTACTCTGAGCACCTATCCTCACTCTGCTTCTTAGAGATGGGTTATCTTAAATCCACCACAATTGGCTGTTGTAAGGCTAGAAAGATGAAGATTTCCCAAGCGCCTGGATAAGAGGACTGAAGGATCAAGGAGATCCCATTTCTTGCCCCAGTTTATTTTTAATAATATATTGAGGGAGAGGTTTGGAGAAAAAAATCTAAATCAGTTAAATGCTTGTTTTGCAAGCAGGAAAACCCAAGTTCAAGTCTTATAACGTATCTATGAAACATCTGAGCTGTGCTCACAGTACAGTGTTGTGGTGGTGTGCTGTACATCTGTACTCCCTATGCTGGGGAGGTGGAGACATGCAGACACTGAGCTTCCCAACCAACCCATCTAATTACTTTTGTGAGCCTCAAGATAATGCAGGGCCATCCACATGGCTCAGTGAGCAAAAGCAGTTGTTACCAATCTTGAGAATCTGAGTTCGATCCACATAAGAAAGCCATGTGGTGGAAGGAGAAAAGTGACCCCCACAACTTGTCACCTGACCTTTACATGAGTGCTACAGTGTGCATGAATGTGCACACACATATTAGAAGATCAACACCCAACATGGACACATGCACCAACACATGTATATAAAAGAGTGAGTACTCACCCCACAGAACCTGGAAGAGACCTTGCAAATACGAGTCAGAACCCTCAAATGTCCTGCTGAATTCTGAATTTTTCTTTTTAAGTTTTATATTTTATTTATTTTTTATGTATATGGGTGTTTGCCTGCATGTATTCCTATGTACCACTTGTATGCCTGGTATCCATGAACGCTGAGGGTGTCAGATCTCCTGGAACTGGAGTTACAGATTGTTAGCCACTGTGTAAGTGCTTGAAATTGAACCGGGGTCCTTTGGAAGAGTATCCAGTGCTCCTAACACACTAAGCTGTATCTCTAACCCCTCTTGCTGAATTCTATACAGCCCCTTGCACCTCTCTTGTCTATCAGCACATTACAATTCCTACAGTGGCAGGGGAGGGATCATGGTGGGAAGGAAAGGAAGCAGGTGGTCTTTGCAGGATTCTAAAAAGCTTAGTTTTCATCTTTCCCAGCAATTAGGGAGTTCCTACACAGGAATTCTGCCTCCCCTGCACTCCTACACATACCGAGCTGCACTCTGGAGGAATAGCACCTTCCCCAAGGGAGGGTCCACCCCAGTCCTGTCTGGTGGTACCAGGCTCTAAGCAAGGATGTCAGGTAGAATGTGGGCAAAATTTTAAAAGGATAAATGTATACCAGAGGCTCCTTTGTTCACCTTCAAACTCAGATAGATTAGTATAGATGTCTTGGCTTAGCCCAAGAATCAAGCTTTGTTATCGACCATAGATACCGTGGGGCTTGTATTGGTCTACAAGGTGTTAGTCATTGTATGGGCTCTGGATAATGCCAGATGACCTTTGCCAGCTATGGCATCCATTTACCCTCAGGGCAGGCCCTGCCCCTCCTGTGAAACCCAGCAAGGTGTGTCCTCACCACCCTCCCTGAAGATAAGCTGGAGCCAGGTTAGGCTGTGTTCACTCTCAGGGGCTCACTCAAAGGAGTAAGAAGCAAAGCACAGCACTGCCAGGTAGGAGGGTAAGAGGATGGGCCAGGAGGACCTGGCACATCGATGCAGACACCTGCTGACTCTGGCTGCCAGTCTTCTCCTCACCTATGGGCCAGGTAAGAAGTACTGAACTGGATAGACTCTGGGAGGAAAGGAGCAAAAACTAGGGTGCTCTGGCGTTTGTAAGTCTTTCCATGGTGTTGTCACTAGCAGCAGGAATAACAACTGTTGATTGAGGCGTTCACCTCATAGACTCAGGGACTTCAGTTCCATCTCTCATGGAACAAAGCTGAAGGACAAGTCAGAATGGACACAAGTGAGGTTATTGATTAAGCAGAAAGACAATAGGAACTCAAGGAGAGTCAGGTGCCGTCATATTGTCAGCAATAACTGTCGGTGTATTAAAGCAGCTTCAGGGTTACTTGATTTGTAATTAAGTTGAGGTCCAAGGGAAAGTAGGTATTGGTATACTCCTTTTTCTTATCTACAGAATTTTGTTTGCAACATAGAGCCTGTCTTAGATATGTTGCAGTTGGAAGAGAGATAGATATTTAAAAAGGAGAATCCTTATTTATATGCAGTATGAAGGAGATTGGACTTGAGGCATAGTTCATGAGCTTTTTTAAAAAAAATCTCTCTCTGTCCCTCTGTCTCTCTCTCTGTGTCTCTGTCTGTCAGTCTGTCTGTCTCTCTCTCTGTGTGTGTGTATGTGTGTATGTGTGTGTGTGTGTGTGTGTGTGTGTGTGTGTGTGTGTATGTTCATGTGTCACAGAGCACATATGAAGGTCAAAATGGATAACCTCAGGTATCAGTTCCTTATCTTCCACCTTGCTAGAGACTGAGTTTTTTGTTCAGCTCTGCACATGACAAGCTAGTTAGTCCATGACCTTCCAGCAACTCAGTTGTCTCCATAGGCATGCACTGCAGTGTCTGGCTTATTGGGCCCTAGGTATCAGGCTTCTATTGCAAGTGCTTTACCCAATGAGCCACCTCCATGGCTTCCTGTTAAGTATTTAAACTATTTTCTCTTCTTTTTTTATTTAAATTAAAACAATCTTATTTTACATACCAATTCAAGTTCCTTCTCCCTCCCATCCTCCTGTTTGCCCCACCATCTTCCCATCCTACACTAGCCACTCCTCAGGGAGGGTGAGGCTTCCCATGGGGGATCATCAAAGTCTGTCACATCATTTAGGGCAGGGCCTAGGCCCTTCCCCATGTATCTAGGCTGAGAGAGTATCCCTCCATAGGGAATGGAAGCCAAAGTCCATTCATGCACTAGGGATAAATACTGGCAGGGCCCCAGAGACCGCGCAAGCCTTCTAACTAACACCCAAGTTCACGGGGCCTGGCTCGGTCCTATACTGGTTCCTCAGTTGTCAGTCTGGAGTTCATAAACTCCCACTTGCTCAGGTCAGCTGCTTCTGTGAGTTTGCCACAGAAACTCACAATCCCTCATTAACTATTTTCAGCAACCATGTTTGTGCTTTGTAGAAATAGGTGTACAGTTCCTTTGGCAGGTGGTCTGGTCAATTATGTAGGAAACTCCTTGGTGTTCATGGTGTGAGTGAGAGAGAAATCGGAACCAGGGGAGTGAGTGGCAGTGGGGTGTCCTTCCCTTCCTGGTGTCCCTTTTGTTTTGTTTTGCCTTGTTTTAGGTTTTGGGGTTTTTAGGTTTCTGTTGTTGTTGTTGATTTTTTTTTTTTAAGCTGGGCTTTCTGCCTCAGAGGCAGCCAGAACCAGGACATGCTCTTTGCTCTCAGTTTTGAGTAAAGACTCCCTTCAAAGCCAAGGCTGAACTTTCTGAACTGAGTTGACTGAGTTCCAAAGCTCTTGTTTTGTTCAGGAAATAAACCCTGGGATTTGAGTGCAGCTGACTACGTACCTTTTGCTTATCATTCACAGCCTTGGTCTCTGATAATTTCAGAGAATTCTGGGCTTCTAGGACATAAGAGAAATTCTCAGGGTGGATGTGGAACAAACTCAGTAATCATTGCTCCCACAGGATTCCACGATCTATGTGATGGGCAAGACAAATGATTGCCCATCTTGGAGGCACAGTGCTTGGGTGGCGTTGAAGCACAAAAGGTGGGGAAGAATGGCTCCAAGGGTCAGTAGCACAGAGTTTTCAAAGCAGGGAACTGGTGGGGAATGTCATAGCTGTGGGTCTTGGGAGGAGAAGGCATTCCTGGCACAGGAGACTGTAAGCAGCTAGCACCAAGCATATTTGTATAGGGTTGTGAAAGCTCAGACTAGAGTTGTGTGATGTGAAGATGCACAGGGGCAAGAGTAGAAACAGAAAGGCATTCCAAGAACCTCCCTCATGGGTCCAAAGGATGAACTTTTCTGGTCTGCAGGTCACTTACACAAGTCTTCTTGAGCTATCCTGCCCTGACTGTAGGAAAGGGCTCTAAGTCTTTAAGCACTGTGGAGTATCAGGAAACACACACATACACACACACACACACACACACACACCTGCAGAAAGAAGAGCCAGCATCCTGCAGTCTTCAACCTGGAACCACCCAAACTGATCCTGTTCTACTCTGACTTTGTGAGCAGGAAATGTTGACTTTCCCACCAAACACTGTTGTTCAAGGGATAGCCCTCCGTGCACCTGGGCTCTTAAATATCTATTCATATATTCTTTGCTTGGTACAAAGACACCTCCAAGCCTCTGAAGGGGTGAAGTCAGGAAGCTTTCAGCATATTTCAAAATCCAAAGGTGGTCTTGACTCTTCCTCCTCCCTTGCTCTTTCCTCCCTCAACCCCAACTTGGCTAATATTGAATCGTTTAAGACCTAGCAGTCAGAGGACTCTGAAAGAGCTTTGTAGCTGGATATCTTTGTGTGGTCATTAATCATATAGAACAGGTTTTTACAACTGTTCCCAAGTTGGTACAAACATAGGTTGTTTAACTGCTTTTGTCACCAAGGCTCATTCAGGGTTTGATTATGAGAGCTGTTGATCAGGGCAGCCCCATTTCTGTGTCAGTGAAGAGCCATGGCCTGGGTTATAGGTAGATGGCCTCTTCACCAACCTCCTCAGGCCCTCCCAAAAAGTCTCCTGGAATCAGTCCAGACTCCCTTCAGGACTTTTGATGTGAAACACTGAAAATGAATCTCTTGTTCTCTGAGCAGTAAATCTGCCAGGCAGAGTGAGAAGTCTGTCCCCTCTATATACAGACATGATAAAATTTAACATCATCTGGGCACAGTAAGTTAACCAAAACAAAGAGAAAATTGCAATATACTGAGTTTGTCCAGTATTGTAGCCAAAAAGGTCTGTCTGAGGTACAGACAAGAAGCAGAATGCTAATCAACACTCTAATTACTGGAGTCTGACTTCTCCCTTTGTTAATCATGGTCTGAAAAGATCCCTCGTAGATAAGGAAGTGTTATCAGCAGATATTGGTGTTCAATGTGTGCCTGCTAGAATTTCCAGATTCTTGTGATGTGGAATGAGAATTGTATAGTGTCTTAGTGATTTGCCATGACAAAGATGATGCGATCAAGGTAACTTATAAAAGGAAACATTTAATTTGAAGTTCCAATGCGTTAGACTGCAAGACCATCATGCTGAGGAGTATGGCAGCAGGCAGACACGACACTGGAGGAATAACTGGGAGCTTAAAACCCGAGACATAACCATGAGGGAGAGAGCAAGGGAACTGGGATGGCATGGGCCTTTGAAGCTCACCCCAGTGACATGCCTCTACCAACACGGCCATACATCTTACCATTTCCCAAGTAGTTCCACCAGCTGGGGACCAAGCACTAAAGTCTATAAGCCTATGGGGGCTATTCTCATCCACACCACCACAGATAAGGAGATATGTGAGTAGTAACAGAAGCAGAAACAGGTTATTAAGACAGAATACCCAGGCTGGGAAAATGGACCCATGCAAGAATGCTGTAGCATAAACAAGATAACTTGATTTCAGATCCTCTGCACTCATGTTAAAGCAACAGCAAAAATAGGTATGAATCCACCTGTAACTCCAGTGCAGTGGAACATGGAGGAAGGAGACCCACTGGGGCATGCTGGCTGCAAGCATAGTTTTCTGAAAGACCCTATCTCAATGGAATAAGACAGTCAGTGATAAAGAAAGATATTCAACATCCTTTTCTGGCCTGTGCAAAGCCCTCATGCAAACATGTGTACATGCATCACATTCACACAGAGAAAGAGAAAGAAATCAAGGAAAGAAGGAAGGAAGGAGGGAACAGAAAGAGAGAAATGGAGAGGAGGAGGGAGAGAGGGGAAAAGGGAGGAAGGGAGGGAGGGAAACAAGACTTCCAAGAGAGGAAGTGGACCAGAGTTGAGAAAAAGGTCAAAAGCTCAGTAGCGAATGCTGTACCACCGACTGGGATTTTATATACCAATGTCCAAACAAGCTCTGTTACATGTTGGTAATGGAAGTAACAGTTGAAGTGGTCTAGTATACCTCCACCTACAGGTTTCTTATGGACCTTACTTATGACACACACTTTATGCTAAGGAGACATAGCTGTGCCTAGACCAGCCAAGCATTATTCCATGTTGTTTCTACTATTAAAAGGGTGGATCTGTGTCCCAAGGAACCTGAAATACATAGATTCTCAAATCCCAGAACAAATAATTAGACTAGGGACATAGAAATTAAGAATAATTAAGAAAGGTAAAGCACTCCTAAGCACTGGGGTGGACTAGTGAGTTGAGGAAAAGGCATGTACTCAAGAGTACTGGGCAGTGAGGCACATACCCTTTATAGATCATTTACAAAACATCTGCCCTGTATATCATGAGCTTTGGGGAACATGCTCTGCTTGTTAATAGCAGCCCAGGTAGAAAAGCACTTCTAGCCTTTCTGGCAACTGGCTTCCTGCATATATTAACCTTTTTCTTTATGATATATATCGCATGTTTAAAAACACTTCTTCCTTTTTCTTTATGATATACGACTCACATTTAAAAGTACTTATTCATTTTTGTGTTTATTTCTTGAGGGATTCATGTCTTGGTGCATGTGTGTATAGATCAAAGGGCAAATTTGGGAGTCATTTCTCTCTATCTTGTTGAGATGGTGTCTCTCTCATTTCTTTCTGCTTCCCTATATTGTCTATAGGCTTGCTAG